CCTCTCTCTCTCTCTCTGCATCTCTGAATAAATAAAATCTTAAAAAAAAATTAAAAAGACAAATCCCTGTCATCATGAAGCATAGACAGACAAAAAGTAAATACACATATATACTCATGCTATATATGTAACACATTTCTTGTGGGGATACCACTGATTCACTGTACCAAGACTTTTTCCTATGGATTCAAACTGTGGCTTTAAGATTTTATATGAGGAGTATCTACAATCATGGTGACTTAAAATACAGGGAAAACATGTCACATGCAGTTTATGTAGTGCATAATCTCATAACAGAAAAAAAATACATACACAGGAAAAAAACCCAAGAAGGTACTACACCAAAATTTTAATAATTAGGTAATCATGTATTCAGTGAAACTACTGAGTACCTCCTGTGCACCAGCCATCATCTAAATGCAGAGGAGACAGAGTGAACAAATTCTAGTGGAGCCTGAATGCTCTTTTAGAAATGTTACCACCAGGAGCATATGTTTCTTTATGTACATATTGTGTGTGTGTGTGTGTGTGTGTATGTGTGTATAAATACTTATTGTTATAAAACATTACTCAGTGAAGGTCAAGGGAAAGCTATTAATCTTTTCTTACTCTGGTCAACTACGGTGGGTGGCAACCCCAAAATGATTTTTGACAAACATCCTGAAGCTTCACACATGTCTCAAAACCAGAGCAGGAGCAGTATGGAGAACTAATTTAAAAGAACTGGTGATAGAATTATGCAATAAAGTGACTTTTTAAATCAGTTGATAGGCTTGAATGGTTTTGTTTTTCTACCATAGTCCCTGATACTGTTGTACAAGTTCAAGGAAAGTAACCATACCTACGCCTGTAAACAGGGCAGGCATCCAAGATAAGCATCACTCACCTTCTGAAGCCCTGTCCTGCTGCAATGTGGGTAGACAGCAGCCCACAGAGGCTCCTCTAAGGCCTCTGATTTGGTGAATTGGTGAAAAGGGATCTGCCAGCAGATCAAACCCTGGCATCTCCCAGATCTCCCCAGACAGGGAGAAGGGGTGGGGGTGGGGCTGCAAGAGCACAATGAGTACCACACTTCTCCCTTCCCCAGTCAGGCCACTTTTATCAGGACAAGAAGAAAACTTTTTCTTTAATCTAGTGATGTACCAGGATGTTGGGATACACAGAACTCCAGGTCCTCAATAGATGCCAAGGCATTAGTAAATCTTCCCTTACCTGAAACCTCATTCCTTAGCAAACTGCTCAGGCCCAGGAAGTTATGGTGCAAAACCAGTAAGAAGAGAGCAACAGCCAGGACCAGGATGATGATGTTTACTGAAATACAGAGGAAAAGCCTGCATGACATCTCTTTACCTTTTGAGCAGCTGTAAAAACAACATAATTTGTAGAAAAAGCATACCTTTACGGAATGACATCTTTTTCTTCTGTTTTATATAAATGCTAGTTTTTAACCCTACAAGACAAAAGCAAGCCCCCAGTCAGTAGGTACATGAGAATGACCATCGAAATGCCTCAACACTTTTATTCAGGTAGAAATATACAGTATCTTCTGCCAGAAACTCATTTTGAATTAACAGTTTCCAAGAACCTAACTTGAGACCTGAATTTTATGTGGTAGTCTTGATAATACTGGGAGAAAGTCTTGTACATTAGATGTCACCAGATGAAAAGCAAAATAAATTCTATCGAAGAACACTTGCTGTCTGTACTTGGTGTCTAACCACTACAGAAATATTTTCCAAATGAATTTCTATTCAAGATTCCTAATTAAATTAGACATGGACTTGGTTATCTATGATCAAGTAACCTGAGATCAGCCTCATTGGTATAAAATGACCCTGTTCTGAGTTGTATCCCATCCAGCTTTAACGGGAATTAAAAAGAAAAATATTTTCCAAATTCATTTAAAACTACAGCAGAAGGGACGCCTGGGTGGCTCAGTGGTTGAGTGCCTGCCTTTGGCCCGGCGCGTGATCCCTGGAGTCCTGGGATGGAGTCCCACATCGGGCTCCCTGCATGGAGCCTGCCTCTCTCTATGTCTTTCATGAATAAATAAAATCTTTTTAAAAATTATAGCAGACAGGGGCACTTGGGTGGCTCGGTGGAGTGTCTGGCTCTTGATTTCAGCTCAGGTCATGATTTCAGGGCTATGAGACCAAGCCGTGCAAGGAGGCTGCTTAAGATTCTCTCACCCTCTGCCCCCCTCCCCCCAAAATAGCAGAGAAACATAATTACAAAAATGTACAAAATCCACTCTTGCTTTCAAAAGTTTAGGGTGCTATTCTCAAAAATTAAAAATCTGGTAAAAGAAAAAATGAGCTTTCCAGGGCTTAACCTCTGTTGGTTAACTACTCATCTCTTCATAAAGCAGTATCTAATACTGTCATCTGTCTGTGGCTTGTGCTCACCTCATCTGATGCCTTTGCTTAAAAAAAAATAATAATAATAATAATAGGGGCACCTGGCTGGCTCAGTCAGTAGAGACTGCAACTCTTGATCCCAAGAGTCTGAGCCCCACAGTGGATGTAGAAATTACTTAAAAAATTAAAAAGAGAAATTTAAAATAATGATTCAGTGGCAACAAGACTATGTGTGGAACTAAATGAAGCGATCAGATCAGATTTCTACAACATCTCTGGGTAATGTTTCCTTAAAAGATTTTATGCATCCAGGATATTATGATCCTACCTCTGAAACCTTTATACTTTTATGCTTCATCCTCCCTCATGGGAGTACCTAACATTTTTACATAAGGCTATTAACTCCACAAAGCACTTTGAATTATAGCATATTTCTAAAGTAAAAGTAAGTCTGAATTAATTTCATTGTTAGTATGTGCCTATGAGGCACTTGATTTCTCAAGGCCTTTGAAAAAAAAGAGAAAGAACACCTTTCTTTTTCTTTTTTTTTTTTTTAACTTGCTAGCTACCTGCATTAAGACCCACATTCTTGGCAGCTGTGCCCATTTTTTCTGCTTTCCCTTTTGTTAGTATGTCGTCCCATGAAAGACCATTCCACTGATACTCTAACATAACCTCTAATTGTTTCCTTAGTGCAGCATCAGCAAACGCTTTTTCCCTCTCAGTTGGATCACACTCATCAGCATATTATCATGCTCTTCTATCTTCCAGTTAATTAAAAACAACAACAAAAAACTGCTCCCCTCACCCTAGCTGATCCACAGACCCATTTCCGTGTTCCCCTCTTGAAAAAATTTAATATGTAGCTCCACTCGCTTTCCTTCTCTCCAACCAGACTTCTGCCCCTACTGTTCCACTCAAACTGACCTTGTTGAGGTCGCCAAAGACCAAGATCATTTTTATGTCCTCTTTATCATCCCCTCAGAGGCCATCAGGAAAGTTCACTACACCCCCTCATTTCCGAAACTATCTCATTTCTCTGTTTCTTGATTTCTGTCTTCCCAGACTAGAATGTAGGCTCTATGAGAATAGAGACCCCAGTGAAACTACTTGATGCATCCTCACATCTGAAAACCATGACTCTTATTAGGCACGTGGTATTTGTTGAATGGTCTTGTAAATATGAGCAACGGTGGTTCTCAGCTCAAAAAAGGGAACACCATCTTTGATAATGGTCATGAAAACACATTTCAACGTAAGGACCAACATGGATTCCAACAAAGATCTCTCTCAAATGGAACCGGACAGGCAATTTCCTCTTCTCACCATATGTTAGAGCTCCAATACCTTAAAGCCTTTGCAGCAACTGCCACATCGTGAAGTGCATTTAAAAAGGGATAACGCAGGGATGCCCGGCTGGCTCAATCTCAGAAGCCAGTTACTCTTGATCTAGAGATTGTGAGTTCGAGGTTGGGTGTAGATGTTACTTAAATAAATGAAACTTTAAAGGTGGGGGACGGTAACACAGAGAGACAGGTCTATTTCTACATACAACAGAGAGCCTATTAAATAGTCTCTGCCAGGCCGAAAGGTGGAAAGGCACTTTCTCCTGCCTCTTCATCTGGCTAGCTCCTACTCGGCTTTCAGGACTCAAGGGGGGAGCCTCTCAAACCCCACATTCAGCGGCACCTGCCCTGAGCTCCCTCCCACATCTCCCCGGCCGCCCAATCCCAGAATAAATCTGTCACTTATTTCTGGGGTTATGCCACTGTCCCCCCTAACACGTCGTGGGCTCTAGGAAGGCATGAGCCCGGTGCTGGTCACAGCAGTGCCCGAGGCCCACCGCGTGCACTGAGCAAGGCGCCGTGAATGTGCTGACTGTATGAGCGAGCGGCAGCCTGTGCCTGGAGCGCGGAGAAGCGCGCCGTCTGCGCCCCCGACACGCGACAGAGCAGAGGCCAAGCGCCACCCGGGATGCACAGGCAGGGTCTCTCCGAAACACGGGGCACCCTACCTCGCTCGGAATACCAGGGAGAGGCACGCCCCAGTCCTGAGAGAGGGAAGGGTCGGGCCTGGGAGGGCCTGGGAGGGCCCGGTGCAGCCGGGAGCCAGCCGCGCCGCCAACGTGGGGGACTCCCCGGGAGGGAGTCGCTCCCAAGGCGGTGCGAGGGGCGGCGAGCGCGGGTCCCCCCTAAACTGCAGGGGTCAACAGGGCGCCCTTCCGGACGCTCCGGAGGCTCCCCCGGGCCCACAGCCCCCCGCCCCCCGTTAGGTCCGGCCGAGCCGTTCCCCTCGGGCGCTCCCCCGGCCGCCCTTACCTGCAGCTGGAGGAGGAGGAGCCACCGCCCGCGCCCCGGCCCGCCCCGCCAGCTCAGCGGCCGCCCCGCAGGCCCGGGGCCCCAGCTCGCCGCCGGGCCGCCCGCCTGCCCTGCACTCGGGACCCAGCCCGCCCGCTCGCCCGCTAGCTCGGCGGCCGCCGCGCAGTCCCGCCACCCGCCGCCCGCCGCCCGCCGCCCGCTCCGCCCGCGGGAGCGCGGCCACACAGGCGCCGCCGGGCAGCCCTGCGCCGGGGTCCTCGCCGAGGAAACACGGTCGCCATGGCGACGGGGCGCGCGCCCGCAGCCGGTGGGCCGTAGCGGCGCCGCGGAGGGCGTCTAGCAGGGCCGGGGCCTCGGCTCCCGGCAGCCGGCAGCCGGCAGCGCGGACGGCGAGCCCTTCCCGGGCGCGCGATGCCTCCTCGCGGCCGCCGCCCGCCCCCGCCCCCTCCCCCGCGGGCCGGGCGCCGGGCGCCAGCCCGTTGCCGCAGCGGGGGGCGCGTAGCGGCGGCGCGGGGCGGGGCCTGGGGCCGCTGGGGGCCGCGGGAAACATCCGCTTCCGGGGCCGCGGCCATCGCGCTCCCCGGCTCCGCGGGCCCGCCGTGCTGCGCCTCGCCCCAGAGCCCCGGGGCCACGGCCCGAGAGTCGCGGCTGCCCTCCGCCGGCCGCCGGCCGCCGGCCTCCTCAGCCAGCCATGCTGGAGCATCTGAGCTCGCTCCCCACGCAAATGGTGAGGGTCGGCGGGTGCCTGGCGGACGGGCCGCCTTCTGCGTCGCCTGGTGCGCCGCGCGCGTCCCCATCTGTCTTCTCCGGGGCTGCCCCTGCCCGTGCGCCCCTGGGAGGCTTGTTTCCCCCGCACACCCAGAACTTCGTCTCTTGCCCAGTCCCCGGGGAGGCCCCTGCTGTTGGGGTGGCCCGGTGCCAGCGCGGCGAGGCCAGGGCGGAAACCGTCCGCAGCGGTGGAACCAATTCCTGCTTTGCTCTTCTTCACCTCTAGGATTACAAGGGCCAGAAGCTAGCTGAACAGATGTTTCAGGGAATCATTCTTTTTTCTGCAGTAAGTATCGGTTTTGCACAGTATTCCTTCTTCTCCTCCGCCCCCAGCCAGCTTGACTGTATTTAACACACTTCGTTTGTTTACAGATAGTTGGATTTATCTACGGGTACGTGGCCGAACAGTTTGGGTGGACTGTCTATATAGTTATGGCCGGATTTGCTTTTTCGTGTTTGGTAAGAAGTTTGTGGGTATTTGAATGTTAGTGACAAGTTCACTCTGAATTGGTTGGTTTGGTTGGGCCTAGCAGTAAGAACCAGCACCGACTTTTCGAAACCTCCTTTTGTCATCAGTCCTTGGAAAAGTAGAACGCCAAGTAAGTGTCGGATAAAGTAAGCTGCATAAAAGGACATTTCTTTTGGCAGCTGCTCCAAGCAGTAATCTTAAGGTCAGAGCTAGTGGTAATTTCCTCTGGTCTTCACAGTGCTCCCTCCTCACCGTTTAGCTCTTAAAGCCTTATGTGTCAATGGTGAGGCTTGTTCCCAGTTTTTAAATTTATCTTGTTTGGGCAGAGGTATAACTGGAATGTCAGTTTTGCTGCTGTTTTTACTATGCTGTTAGCATAGGAGGTATTTGGGAACCAGGCATTATCTGTAATGATCTTTCAGACTTTTAATGTTTAATATTGATGGATTTTCTCTGTTCTGGTTCAGTTGACACTTCCTCCATGGCCCATTTATCGCCGGCATCCCCTCAAGTGGTTACCTGTCCAAGACTCAGGTTCAGAAGACAAGAAACCGGGAGAAAGAAAAATTAAGAGGCATGCTAAAAATAACTAATTAGGCTTTTCATGATTTAGCTTTACTATTGCACCTGCTTCCGTTTTGTGTGCGATGAGCTCAATTGTTTTCATATCCAAAACATGAGCTTAAACCCATCGCTGCTCTTTCAGCACAGCTGTGTGTAGATTTTGTTCTCTTTATAGTTCACTTCTAACTCAGCTGGCTTTTGATTTATAAATACTTTTGACCATCTCTTCATAATCTTCATCTGAAATGAGAACAGAAAACACAAGTATGCAAAGCTTCTTTCAGGTCTACAAAAAGTGACAAATGCCTCATAAATGATAGTACAATTTAACTGTCAAAGTTTTATAATTCATTACGAGTGGTTAAGTTGTTTTAATGTTTTCAATTAAAACTCAATGCAAGTCTATGTCTAAAGAGTCTTTTGTTCATTGTTCTGCAAGCGAACCTACTAGTAAAAGCCAAAGTTAGAAGTTTGTGGTTTTGAAAGCATCATTTCTATTTTCTGTAGCTGTAAGTTCCTAATACATGTCTTTCTTGACAACAGTAAGCACCTATAAAAAAAATTTACTAATATAAATTTGTGGGAAAGTAGTATTTTGGCACCACTAAAATAAGGTTGTTAAGCAGAAAAAATTCAATCCATGCTTTACTTGAGGTGGACCAAAGTGGAAACCTGTTCCTTTTAAATTTGCCAGAGAGCTGAAGAGAAAAATGTTCTAAAAGTTTTTGTGTGTGGGACGGGAGAGGGTTACTAGAGGTGATACTCTATTTCTCAGAACCAGAAAAATAGGACTTATTAATAAGATATAAGTTTAAAAAATGAGAGCAAAGACTTATTTAATACAACAAAAATCAGGAAGGTTAAAAAAAAAAAAAACAAGATAAAACTTAAGACAGCAGAAATAAGACCAAGCATATCAGTAAGAGTAATAAATATGATTAAAAAATTAGGAGCTCCCAAATAGGGTTAAGTCAAGTTACCTATTTTTTTTTTCAAGATGATATCCAAAAGTTAAAAACAGGAACAATGATATATTAGGTAGATCAAGCAGAAAAGGGTAATTGTGAGAAAGTCAGATACTTAATATCAGAAAGCATTAAATGGGAAAAAGGTGCCAAGATGTCACTGTTAAGAATCATTATGTATTAAATAGGACATGAAATGTATAAAGAATGTTATGTACATAAGAGTTTGGCAAAGGTCTCTTGGTAGGAGACCAACACTACCACCTTTCAGATTGTGGTAGATCAAGTGGACAGGTGATCAAAAGGAAGACTTGGACTTGTTCTCTGCTTCCCTCAGATATACATGACTTATTTTTTCTTTTTTAGTAAGTTCTCTTTTTTAAGATTTTATTTACTTGACAGAGATAGCATAAGCACAGGGAGAGGGAAAAGCAGGCTAGCAGGCTCTCCACTGAGCAGGGAGCCCAATGCAGGGCTTGCTCCCAGGACCCTGGGATCATGACCTGAGCTGCAAGCAAACACTTAACCAACTGAGCCACCCAGGTGCCCCTTATTTCATTCAGGTCTCTACTGAGATGTGACTATAAAGAAGCATCTCCTGCCCTATCAAAATACAATGGTATGCCTCTTTATTCTATTTGCACTAATATTTCCCACATTATGTATTTCTTCATCCCCTCCATCCCCCCAGAATGTAAGCTCCATGGGAACAGGGATCTTATGCTCATTACTGTTTGCATAGTACCTAGGAGTTGGTGACACATTGTAAGTGATCAATAGATATTAATGGATGATTCAGAGCCGCACTGTCCAATATGGTGCCATTAATCACTTGTGTCTATTTTTTTTTTATTTTTTTATTTACGATAGTCAGAGAGAGAGGCAGGCTCCATGCACTGGGAGCCTGATGTGGGATTCGATCCCGGGTCTCCAGGATCACGCCCTGGGCCAAAGGCAGGCGCCAAACCGCTGCGCCACCCAGGGATCCCACTTGTGTCTATTTAAAACTGAGTTCCTCAAGCTAGCCACATTTCAAGAGCTCAAAAGCCATATATGACCAGTAGCTACTTCATCACAATGCACATACAGAACATTTCCATCACCACAATACTCTACTGGTCAGGTCTTAATATAAGTTTGAATAATACATAAAGGCAAGTGATTCTGTGCATAACAATTCACCTTTATTAAATGCCCATAGGGCCATTCCAATAATGGGTCATCTACTGAGCCACAGGGAAGAACAATTCCAAGAAACAAAAGGCAGGTCATATTCAGTAGCAACACTGCAATGTAGTTGGAACAGGAGATAAAATTTTCCTGGTTTGCGAGATTCAGGCATCCTTTGCTTTCCACAAGCTCGTTGCATGCCACTTCACTTTTAGAAAAGGCTTACATTACTATAGTAATGGCATTTTTTGATAAAAGTGGAAATCCTCTTCAGATTTCTTTCAGCAGAAACAGGTACTACTGTATGTCTTTCATAAAAGCGAAGTGGTGTATCACGAACTTGCAGAAAGAGGGATACTCTTCGCTTTTCACCATTTCAGCTTACCAAGGGTTTCACAGGAATGCTCTACTTTTGGATAGCCAAGGAACCTTGCATATGGAAATTAAGGAACACTTCTTAAAGAGAAAATCAAAACTAGAATTACTGACTTTAAGAATATCAAAATAATATCAAAGTCTGAAATGTGGCCAAGAGTATATTGAGAAGAAAATTCATACTGTTAAAAGTGTTTTATAATAATATAAGAAAGATGAAAAATGATTAGCACTCAAGGAAAACTACAGAGTAACCAAAAGATACTGGGATGAAAACTGAATGTTTAAAAGAAAATAAAAATATACAGAATGGGAATAATAACATGGGGGAGAATTTTTAAATTCTAAGAAAACAATATATACATTATAGCAATAAGTGAGAAAACTTAAAACTGATCTCTCCAGAAAGACAGATTTGTAAAACATGTAAGAAATGGTGAATAGTTCAAGAAGACCCACAGTTTGCCCCCAAATGGGACTGGGACTGTGTGGTTTTACTATTGAGTTCTAACAAACCCTCCAAAGTAGAACTAGAGGTCTCAGAAACCAGACTATGAGCACTGTAAGCAGGAGTATTGTTTTACTCACCACTATATCCCCAGCTCCTGACATAGCACCTGGCACACAGAAAAAACTAAACGTCTGTTAAGTGAGTAAAAAGGGAACATTTCATTACAGTATTTTATGAGTATGTAATTTTCAAAGTAAGGTAACATTTTTAATTATAAAAAACGAAAACATTTGTGGAGCAATATTCATTTTTAAAGTCCTTTGAATACAGAAGTGAAAATTCACTAATTAAGACTTATTTATAAAAACAATTTATTTCCCACATAGGAATTCCCCTTTATTAAACAGCTAATAAAATATGTGATAAATAGTCATACATTTAAAGACAACCAATAATTTGATGTGCAAGAAGACAAAACTTCAGGAGATAAATGTCCAACATAACTAAAAGGAGCTGGACTTCATTTACAAATTGCTTAATTCGAAAGGGAATTAGTGTTGAAGAAATGTTTTCACCAATGAAAATATCATCCTAAAAAAAAAAACAGTATACAAAAACACTGATTTGCCAAAGCCAAAATATTTCTTAGTTTCAATTCTTATATACCGTGAGGTTCATATGAAATGAAAATAAAATGTTAAACATCCATCAATATGTAAAACAGGAATTCAGTTACTCAAGCAGTAGATATAACTTCATATTCAGATCTACTCCCAGAATGATGAATTGACTTTTTAAAAAAATAATTTATCAACTACTACCTAAGGTTATTAACAATGACAACTAGTATCACTATAAGACATTCATTCCTCCTATGCATTTATCACTACAGTACAATATAAAACTTCCAATCTCATATTTTATGGCCCTGTAATCAAGCTAAATAGTACCTTAAAAAAATAAAGTTCTAAATACAAAGAGGGGGTTTAAGGCTCAGTAAACAGTAACCAAACAGACATCTTCTAACAGATTTCCCTCATCAAGAAAGTAAAATTGCCAAAGGTTTTTTCATTCTTTTGTGACATTGCTTCATATTATTCTGGTCCATCCCATTTTTTTCCCAGTTTAAAAAAAAAAAAAAAAGGCTGTAAGGATGGTGAATGGCCTCTAGCCATTATTATGGATTTGTTTCTGTTTAAGCTAAAAACCTCTGAAAATAGGTCTTTAGTTCTGGCAGATTTAATTCTCAAAAATTCACATTTTCTTCAAAAAATTTCAACTGGCGAGCTTTCACACTGTAAGTTGTATATTTTTCACCCATGTGCTCCTGCAAACGTACCTATTTGGGAAACAAAAAGAAAATCAGTATATAGTAAAAAAAAATATCTTTGTAATCTTAGAAGAGCTTTTCACAAAAAAAAAGAAGATGGGCTTTTCTAAGCATGACACCAGAAGTGGAAACCATATCGGAAAATACTATCATTTTTTTGAATTTTAAGCTTCAAGATATCAAAAACTAAAGTCATATGAAATTAAGAACAAACACTATACTGGGGAAAATTTGCAACATACATGCCAAAGAGTATCATTAATACAAAGAGTTCTTAGTAAAACACAACAATATTAGAATATTAGAATTGATAAAACAACAAAATCAATCCCATAGGTAATTCAGGAAAGGCATTCACAAAAATTAATACAAACAACAGAAATTTCAGTCTAATAACCAAAAATTACACTATGTGGCACTCAATATATGCCTGGAATTAAAATAACACCTAATAATGTGTTAAACAGATGTCATACACCTCCTGATTCAGGAGTGCAAAGAGGGGACATAATATCACTTTTGCGGTATGCTGAAAATGCATAATCTGAATCTGTTCATGAATAAACATCAAACAAATTCAAACCAAGGATCATTTTATAAAACATATGGCTCTAGTCTTCAAAAATGTCCTACTCCAGATTAAATAAGACATTAACAAACATAAAATGTAATCCCAATTGGTTCCACATCTAACATAACTTGAGGAGCTCTGAGGACCCCTCCTCAGTGAAACTGGTGAAAATTCTTATTAATTTTTTTGAGAGAGAGAGAGAGAGATCATGCAAGCAGGGTTGGGAAGAGAAAGAAAATTTCAAGCAGACTCCTCACTGAGTGTGGAGCCCAATGCAGGGCTGGATCTCACAACCTTAGATCATGGCCTAAGCTGAAATCAAGAGTTGGACACCCACCTGACTGAGCCACCCAGGCACCCCCCAGGTGAAAATTATGTTTAAAATAACCATTTAAAGTCTCTGAAGTGGTTCTGAGAGCATTCAATAGCAAATAAAGACACTTTTTTCCTCCAAGAAAATCCACTGAAACCTACTTAGAACAGTGAAAGTGGCTGGTATTTGAACCAAGACCAACTGCCTCCCTCTCCAGTCCCAGCTCAGGGAGACAAAAACTCTACATCAGACTGTAGCCAACAACACTGGGCTCCCTTTCCACCTTTCTACCACTCCTAGTCTAAAGGCAATCTTCCTGGGAGGAGCAGGACACCAGCATATCTTATCCTGCCCTCAACATTATTGTTAAGGATAAGTTTTGAGAGACTGCAGCCAAGAGGTGGGACCTTCTTTTTTATATTAGGTTGGACTTTTAGAATGAAGGCTGTAGCTTGGGAGTGAGGCCAGTGAAAATACTGAGGCCCCAGTCACCTTTTCCCTAGACCATAAAGTGAAGCCTCTATGCCAGATGAAGCATGCCAAGATGAGACACCCCTCATCCGCACTGAGCTTCTCAAGTAGGGGGTATCACTCACACAAGTATGCTTCACTCCCATCTGTGCTCAGAGATTTTCCCTGGGGTAAGAAGAAAGACACAAAACAGCACCAATCTTTTCCCTAATGAACTGACCTCGTTTAGTACAGAGCGGAGAAATTTAAGCCTACAAGTGCTCTCAAAAGCTGGAAATAGTGGTGAATGGTAACTAGGAGGAGAGTAATAGATTCACTGGGTATATACAGGCTAACCTGTAGGCCACCTACTTTGATGGAGACAACTAAGAAGCTGTTTTTGACCACCACCCCCCCACATGGGTCAAAACAGATTTCAGACACTAACAGTGGGAACCATCCCTTCAAAGAAGTCCAAATTTTAAATGGGTCAGTCTGTGGAGCAATGTATGCCCCAAGACATTGTTGAAAACAAGAGAACCATCAACTGGCAACTAAAAAACCTTAACAACTGGGTGAAGTAAGGGCAAGGGAGAGTCAAAAGAGCTCTGCCAAACCCTACTGTCATTCCAAGGTGGCCATGGACACAACCAAGGCCTCACCAGCTAAGAGGCAACAGACTTACATTGTGGGGACAGGAAAAAGGGATAAAATAGACTTCACGAAAAAATCCAGCCAATCACTAAAGAAGCAAATAACAATAGCAACGCCCTCCTTGGGGGAGATCAATACTCAGACTTGTAACAATATATTTTCTGGGGCAGCCTGGGTGGCTCAGCGGTTTAGCGCCACCTTCAGTCCAAGGTGCGATCCTGGGGACCAGGGATCGAGTCCCATGTCAGGCTCCCTGCACGGAGACTTCTTCTCCCTCTACCTGTGTCTCTGCCTCTCTCTCTGTCTCTCGTGAATAAATAAATAAAATCTTTTTTTAAAAAAAAGCTGTTGAGGGATCCCTGGGTGGCGCAGCGGTTTGGCGCCTGCCTTTGGCCCAGGGCGTGATCCTGGAGACCCGGGATCGAATCCCACATCGGGCTCCCGGTGCATGGAGCCTGCTTCTCCCTCTGCCTATGTCTCTGCCTCTCTCTCTCTCTCTCTGTGACTATCAGAAATAAATAAAAATTTTTAAAAAATTTAAAAAAAAGAAAGCTGGGGGATCCCTGGGTGGCGCAGCGGTTTGGCGCCTGCCTTTGGCCCAGGGCACGATCCTGGAGACCCGGGATCGAGTCCCACATCGGGCTCCCTGCATGGAGCCTGCTTCTCCCTCTGCCTGTGTCTCTGCCTCTCTCTCTCTCTCTCTCTGTGACTATTATAAATAAATAAAAATTAAAAAAATAAAAAGAAAGCTGTTGAAAAAAAGAGAAAAGAAAAGAAGATCAGGGGCACCAGGTGGCTCAGTAAGTTAAATGTCAGCCTTCGGCTCAGGTCATGATCCCATCGAGCCTCACTTTGACATAATACTCCACTTTCAGTTATGGGCAAAACAACCAGGCAGAAGATCAACAAGAAAATAAGCAATTTGGACAATACCATAAACACACTAGAACTAACAGACATCTAAGAAATACTCCCCACAACAACAGCTAAATATATTCTCAAGCATACATAGAACATTCTCCAGGTTAGACCATATGCTAGGCCATAAAACAAAGCTCAATAAATTTAAAAAAGATAAAAATAATAAAAAGTATGTTCTCCAACCACAAATAAAATTCAATTAGAAATAAATAACAAGGACGCCTGGATGGCTCAGTGGTTGAGCGTCTGCCTTCTGCTCAAGTCATGATCCCGGAGTCCTGGGATCAAGTTCCACACTGGGCTTCCTGCAGGGGGTCTGCTTCTGCCTCTGCCTCTGCCTATGTCTCTGCCTCTCTCTGCGTCTCTCATGAATAAATAAAATCTTAAAAAAAAGAAAAGAAAAAGAACAAAAAGAAATTGGAGAAACTTAAAAATATATGGAAAAATTTTTAAAGATTTTATTTATTTATTATTCATTCAAGACACAGAGAAAGAGGCAGAGACACAGGCAGAGGGAGAAGCAGGCTCTCCATGGGGAGCCTGATACAGTACTCGATCCTGGGACCCCAGGATCACACCCTGAGCCAAAGGCAGACACTCAACCACTGAGTCACCCAAGCATCCCAAATATAAGGAAAATAAACAACACACTCCTAAATAACCAACCTTATAGAAGTAAAAAAGATTAAAAAGGATTGTTATTAATAATTACATGCTAATCAGTTAACTTAGATGAAATGGATAAATTCCTAGTAAGACAAAATTAGAAACAGAAGAACAGACAATCTGAGTGTAACAAGACAATAAATTCATTATCAAGAAACTACCCACAGGGGATCCCTGGGTGGCTCAGCAGTTTAGCGCCTGCCTTTGGCCCAGGGCGCGATCCTGGAGTCCCGGGATCGAGTCCCACGTCAGGCTCCCGGCATGGAGCCTGCTTCTCCCTCCTCCTGTTTCTCTGCCTCTCTATCATAAATAAATAAATAAATCTTTAAAAAAACAAAAAGAAAAAGAAAAGAAAAAAGAAACTACCCACAAAGAGAGGCCCAGGGCCAGATGCCTTCACTGGGGAATTCTATCAAACATTTAAAGAATTAATACCAATTATTCACTAACTCTTCCCAAAAACAGAAAATTAGGGGACACTCCTCAACTCATTCTATGAAGCCATCATTACCCTAATACAACCAAAGACACCACAGAAAACTAAAGACCAATATTGTATAATAATAGACAAAAGAATTTTCAACAAAATACAAAAAACATGATTCCAAAAACATATAAATAATATAGTATATACTATGACCAAGTGGGGTTTATCACAGGAATGCAAGGATGATTTAACACCCCCAAATTAATTAATGTAACACACCCTGTCAATAGAATTAAATACAAAAACCATATAATCATCACAATGTAAAGCATGCAACAAACCCAACATCTTTTTACAATTAAAAAAAAAAAAAAAAAAAAACACCCAACAAACCAAGAAAAGAAGGAACCTTCCACAACCTGATAAAGGGCATCTATAAAAACCAACAGTCAACCAATGGTAAAAGACAGGATACTTTCCCTCCTAGATCAGAACCAAGTCAAAGATGTCCACTTGCATTACTTCCATTCAATACTGTACTGGAGGTTCTAACCAGGTCAAAAGGCAAGAGAAGAAGTAAAAGGCATCCAGACTAGAAAGTAAAACTAACTATTCTTAGATGGTACGATATTATATAGAGAAAATTCCAAGGAGTCCACCACTACCAAAAATAAATAAATAACCAAAAATAAAATTAAACCCAATAAACAAGTTCAGAAAGGCTGCAGGACACAAGGTCAAGATTTTCAAAATCAAATTTAATTCCATGCATTTGCAGTGAACAATCCCAAATGAATATAAAAAATTCCAATAGCATCAAAAAGAATAAATCCTCAGGAATAAATTTGACAAGAGAGGTACAAAACTTACACTCTAAAAATTAAAATATTGTTTAAAGAATTGAAGATCTAAATAAATGGAAAATCACCTCATGTTCATGAATCAGAAGTCTTAATTTTATTAAGATGGAAATACTCCACAAATTAATCTGCAGATTAATGCAACCC